CTTTGATTTTTTCTCTATATAATGGCCTAAAGAATGAGATCAAATTACCTATCTTTTTCAAGAGGAGAAAACCTTGAATTTTGAAGAACTTAGAGGTCATTAAAAACTCCTCAGAAGTCGGGAAAGCTCATTTCCGGCCATCTACTAGGAATCCAAATTTTCCGGGGGAAATTTCCCATGACCCCTTTTAATGTTGGGGGTTTTTTTTTTAGACATTTTAAACCACCCTCTTTCATATCCTGGATCTGCCCCTGGCTAGAGTGCATTTCCCTTGTATTTCGAAATTGTTTATAAGTACACAATGCTTTAACCAACACATCGTTAATCAGGGATGCAAGATGACGCCGTGTATAAACAATTGATAAACTTAACATTTACTCGTGAATTGCTAGGTACAAAAACGTAGGATAACATTTCCAAATCGTTATTTTTGTACTTTTTGATAAGCGTACACACACTTTCAACTCCCTCTCCCAGCGTACGTTTTGTACGCGCGTGAAAATGATGAAAATAATGGATGACCCCTTCAGGATTTTAAAATATTCCAAACCTGTACGATTAAAAAAAATAAATAAAATAAAAAATAAATAAATAAAGTTAACTTAAAACACAAACAACACGATAGGACATAAAGTTTGAGAGAAAAATTGGTATACTGTACTGTATTTCTGAAGTGCCATTCCTTTTAGGGTTGCTACAATCAGGAATTACAATCGATCAAACAAAGGAAAAGCACTATCTATTTCCTTACATTCCAAAAAGGTGGATTTTGGATGTGATCAATCTGCAAAACAGATTGATCACAAAATCAGAAGCATGATCTCAAACATCAGAACCCAGCTTTTATTGTTTAAAACTGTCGGGCCCCATTGAATGAAAATACGGTATTATAGTTTATATTATATTTTGTTTAAACAATGTCGGGGGTGGGGGGATGCCCTCGCACTTGGGGCCCTGGCTTTTCCCCCCACCCCCCTCCCCTCCGTCAGCGCCCGAGTGTGACGCCACTGATATAACAACTGCTGATTGTAGCAACCCCAAAAACGAACGGCGCTTCAGAAAATACAGTATTTATTCTCGCAAACTTCATATCCTATCGCGTTGTTTTTTATTGAAGTGTACAGTTTTTTTTAATATTTTAAAATCCTTAAGTTAACTATTTTTTTAAGTTTTTTAAGTTTTTTTTTTAATTTTCAATGAAAAATAAATGCGATCGTTAATATTGACATTGGTACAATGTAAACCTGTAATCATAATGACTACTTATACAGAATTTTACTATATTATAGGCCTAGACTAGGACCAGGCCTCCTACTATAGTACAGAGGCCTAGTCTAAGACCTTGTTGCAAATCCCAGCCCACATAAAGCCTAGTCTATAATGCCTAGCATAGGGCAGGCCCGTAGGCAGGATTTTCGATGGGGAGGTGCGTTTTGCAACCGAAGTGGACCTTACGATGAGCGTCTGCCTAGGGGTCCCCGCGAGGGTGGGGCGAATCTTCTGGAAGCTCTGACAAATTATCATTTTGAGGGCCTTTTTTAATGGATTTCTAAAATCCATAATTTGTAATATCCTATTTAAATTTTCATTCATTTAAGTATTGTCTAGGGACCTACAGTAAAAGCAGGAGAAATAGAGGGTGGGGGTGAAGGGAGGAACTTGAGACAGATGGTCAATACCACCTCAGCCCCATGATTGGAGCTGAGGTGAGAAAATGTATGATTATGCCACCTCAAAATGGCCGGAAATGGCACTCTCGGACAATTATGATTTTTCTTTTTTACTCCATTTTCTTTTATAATTTTAGGGGCTCTTCTCCCTGAAAAGTAATGTTATTTTGTCCTGTACATCTGGATGCCTATAGATAACATTCTTCATATTCTGTAGATCAATCTGTAATCACCGGAGACGATCAATTTCTAACAAATTTCATGCCACATTATTAAAAATCAACGGTTAGATACGCTGGCAAATATATAATGCATGCAGGCATGCTATAACATTTTGTGATAATTAGGAACGATTTTGTGAAATCATTGGTTTCAAAAAGTGTACCTTTTGGAATTTGGGGGGGGGGGGTACGTCCGCACCCTCTGCACACTCCCCCTCCACCCCACCCCCTTGCCTACGGGCCTGAACTTGTGGTCGCGGTACCCTGACAATTAAAAATTAGCAGACGCACTGGGAAGCGTTGTTCACGGCATTGGATTGCAGCGAAAAATGATTCCCCCCATCATTAATGGAACAGGCCCACGTCACGCTTGGCTGACTAGTTTTGATTTACATTTGTGTGTCTGTGCCATAAGCATGCAAAAATCCATGTTAAACAAGCCAAGCATGACTGTTTTGAAATACATTTTACAACAACACAAGACATGCGAAATGTAAATCAAAACTAGTCAGCCAAGCGTGACGTGGGCATGTTCCATTAATGATGGGGGAATCATTTTTCGCTGCAGTCCAATGCCGTGAACGCTTCCCAGTGTGTCTGCTAATTTTTAATGGTCAGGGTACCGCGAAAACAAGCCCTATGCTAGGCATTATAGTCTAGGCTCATGTGGGATGAGATTTGCAACAAGGTCTTGGACTAAGCCTCTTTACTATAGTAGGAGGCTTGGTCCTAGTCTAGGCCTATAATATAGTAAAATTCTGTATAAGTAGTCATATGATTACAGGTTTACATACCAAGGTCAATATTAACGATCGCATTTATTTTTCATTGAAAATAAATAAAAAAAACTTTAAAAAAAATATATAATATAAACTATAATACCGTAGTTTCATTCAATGGGGCCCCGACAGTTTTAAACAATAAAAGCTGGGTTCTGATGTTTGAAATCATGCTTCTGATTTTGTGATCAATTTGCTTTGCATATTGGCCCTACGTTATTAAAACATGTTTAGTTCTCACTAAAATTGGCCTATTCTCTGTATTTATTTACACCTAGAGTACATAGGCCTACTGAAGGACTATACCAGTCCGAAAGTCATGTACCCCTCTATGTTCTCTAACAACGGAGTTAACAGTTAATTTTTCAATCTCCAGCAAATTTAAATATAGCATCCAAAATCCTCCTTTTTCGAATGTAAGGAAATAGATAGTACTTTATATTTGTTGGATCGATTGTAACTCCTGATTGTAGCAACCCCAAAACTAATGGCACTTCAGAAATATAGTACAGTATACCAAAACTTCTCTCAAATTGTATATCCTATTGCGTTGTTTGTGTTATAAGTTAACTTCATTTATTTATTTTTTATTTTATTTATTTTTTTTAAGCGTACAGGTTGGAATATTTTTAAATCCTTAAGTTAAATTATTTAAAGCTTTCTTTTTATTTTCAATGAAAAATAAATGCGATCGTTAATATCGATCTTGGTACAATGTAAACCTGTAATCATATGACTACTTATACAGAATTTTACTATATTATAGGCCTAGACTAGGCCTCCTACATAGTATAGAGGCCTAGTCCAAGACCTTGTTGCAACTCCCAGCCCACATAAGCCTAACCTATAATGCCGAGCATTGGGCTCGTGATCGCGATACCCTGACCATTAAGAAGACGCACTGGGAAGCGTTGTTCACGGCATTGGACTGCAGCGAAAAATGATTCCCCCATCATTAATGGAACAGGCCCACGTCATGCTTGGCTGATTAGTTTTGATTTACATTTCGCAAGTCTAGTGCCATACGCAGCAAAAGTCGATTTCTAGTGTTGTTGTCAAATGCGTTTCAAACCAGCCTGGTTTTTGATTTACTGTAACCTTTGAACTTTCAAGGACTCTATTATGGGATGTTCCCGCGGAGTCTCGCTCTCTCGTGGGGGTTCGTCGACTAGCCAAGCTGCGTCTTGTTGGAGGCTCACACTTTGTATAGAATAAAACCGTTAACATCCAGCTTACTTGGTGTCTGGGTCATTCATTGAAGTCCGAACTCATCTAGTAACATCCATAGAGAGTTACATTACGTTTTGGAATAGAGTTTGGAGAGGGCGTTTGATTAATTCAGACCTACGTTTTGAATTTGAATTACATTCTAAAGAAATTAAGAACTACATTTTAGAAAATTTGAACTACGTTTTGAAAAATTAGAACTTCATTTTGGGAAACTAGATCTACATTTTGAGAAATTTACGCCTACGTTTTGATAAATCTGACATTGAATTTTGCAATTACATTTTGATTTTAACATGGACTTTTGCTGCGTATGGCACCCCATACATGTGCACTTTAAAGAACCGCAGTACATCTTTCGAGATAAGTTGGGGTTTACCCGGTGTACTGGTCCATACAGCCCTTGTTGTCTTGTGATGGGTTTGCCACTTTAAAGCATGATTAATTTCACTTTTTGGCATATACTTGGACCTAGTGCCATAAAGCTGAATAAATATTTAGAGGTAATAGTCTTGATGGTACACACGGAGATATTATTGGAGTAAGATATTATATTTCAAAATTGTATACATTTTAAAATTATATTGTTGATGGGATGCTAAAGGTCAGAATAATATTATAATTTCGATGCAAAACTTTGCATTTTCTTATAATTATCGTGTCTTACGAATTTCGAATCCGTATTAATTTTAATAACTATAATTATCTTAAAGGCAACTGAAGGAACGGAAAATGAGAACCAAGCTGAGGTAAGATATTGCTTAGCTTTACCTTCCTCGATTTTTGTTTTGAAAGTTATTAATGTGATAGTGATTGGTATTTCAAAGCAAATGATGGTAAATCGCTTATAATTGTTATTTTGCTCATATTTTGGTAGACTTACGCGATGTATAGTCGTGAACAGACAACAGAGGACCAGACTTACCAAGATTTAATGAAGATAAATGATGAAAATTTAGATCTTTATGAAAATTTCAACTCCAAAAATGTTAACAATTGAAAAATGTCTTTTCAACAAGATGATGTATCAGCTATTTGTAAAAAAAAAAATCAATACATTATAACGATTCATTTTCTTCAACGCAACATTTTAATTCTATTTTCGGTATGTGCTGTAATGAAAATTGTATTGATTTCAGATTAAAAATAGTAGGCCTAGTTTCAACAAGAACATCATTGAAGTAGAGCTTGACACGCATAGGCGATTTGGTTATGCCTTCTTATTTAATGAGAGTGTAATAATCACTCACTATCGGCTGTGCTGTAATAATCAACTCACTTAAAAGAAATTTAAATAAGGAAGTAATGTTCTTCATATACCTCAAGTACTCTATTCAATGGCCTGAAATCAAATTAGAGACAAATCAGTCGAGAAAGCATCCGTCTCACTTGTTTTGTCTGCACAATACACTAAGAGTAATCTTTAAAAATGTTCATTATGTTGCACTGATTTCCTGGATGTTTATTTTCAGACTTTATTCCGATCAATTTCTGGGAATTCCATTGATACAGTTACACATATAAAATACGATAGTGTGGACAAATATTAAATATACTGTATTTGCTGATTTTTTTTTTTTGTTTCAAATCTATTGCTTCATTGGAATATTTTATGACTGTGTTAAATAATAGCCACGTTTTCTTTCTGGTCTTTTCGTCCGTTGATTTCAATCGGTTATTTGTGATATTTAAAGCCAACCTGTTATTAGAAAATAACTGCAGTCGTGTTTGTAAAAAAACCTCTGTCACCCTTACTCCACAGGACTTAAACAATTTGACAATGGTAAAGGATTAAAGCATTTCATTCATAGGCCTAATGCAACATATGATCCAGGAAGATATTCTAGAAACAAATTATTTTTTTTCTGATGAAACAAATTATTATTTCTCATTTACCATTTGTCAAAATCGACGATTAGAAAAAAATGTTGAACAGTAATAATTTCCGTAATATGTAAGTCCCCTTAATAGGGCTTCTATTGCAGTCCAGTGGGCGGAGCCCCCGAAAATTATGGCAATTTAGGGGTTTTTAGGGTTTATTTAATCGCTTTTAAAGTGTTCTAATACGAAGAAAATTCATACATTATACTTTTTTTTTTCTCACTGACGAATTGTTCTTTTTTTCCCCGACGGGGGGCCCTGGCTCCTCCACTGGTACCACCCCTGCTTTTTAGCAATTTTAATTTTTGTTGTTGTTTCTGATGATAATGTATTGTAATGTTGCTTCAAATGTTTCTGTCTTGTGCTAATGATTTGTTAATTTTATTTTATATACCGTAAATGCTTGAAAAAGCGCTGCGACGCTTATAACATTTTGTATCTCACATATTCCCGTAGTTCGGTAGGCCTTCACAGGTCCTACGTCATCATAAGTAAATGTTTATAAAGAAATGCTTGTGTCTATATTGTGTTATTTATTTATTTAAACACTGTATGCATTGTATTTAAAACCCTGTTTCTTAATTCCATATTACAGTGTGTACAATAATAAATAATGATAATATCTATTTACAATTTCAATTTTAAAAAAAATTAATTTTATGATGCTTTATGGTGAAATTCGCATTTTGTTAAAGTGTCAATGACATTTTGACCTCTAATGACGTCAGTAATCATCGGATTCCGAATTTTCAAAATATAAGTGATTGAGTTTAACTAATATGCTACATGTTGGTACCAAATGCATGCATATTTGTTTACAGAAACAAAATTATGAACACAAACGTTATCCTCACCCCAAAATTTGCATTTACTATAAATCACTTGTAACAACCATCATACAATGATGTAACCATGGGAACAGAAGAATATCAATGAAGTTTTTCTGTGAGTGGGGGTGGGGGAGGGGTTCACCATGACCCCTGCTAGCCCATGGACTAATGTCCCATATTTAAGCCCTTACAAGGAACGGAAATGGATCTGTCTGCTGATGGTCGCCGACGCAGGGACATCAACAAACTTAACGATTCTTCTTGTCAAAAAGCATCGAATTGCCGAAGTTTCCTTGAAACAGAATCCTATCTGGAAATGTACTATCACGATCTAGTGGGCTCATGTTCGCATTTCTACAACTCTTTTCGAATTCTAATAGGGCGCCCCCACTTCTGGTGGTAGTACTTTGTTTTTCATTTTGTTCCGTGCATGGAAAAGCAAGACAGCAGAACCTCTTGCTACTCTATACTATTTTTCGTGTCTGATAATTATGACAGGCATTCAGCTCACCTTTTTCTGAATACTACGTCACCAAATTTTATTTGATTTATGGAATTCCAGATATAGATGTACAAATACAATAGAATAAAAATAATTAACAAGTATAACTAAAGTACATGAAATACAAAACAGCCTAGGATTTTATACAGCAAACCAAATTACTATTGGAGACTCTGCTTTTGGTACGGCATTTATGATAATGAACTTTTCCGTTAAGCTCCGCCCCTTAGATATCGTTGCTAAGGTGCCACAACACGACAGCCTAAACATATGTACACACACATGCGCTGCTTGCATAGCGTTTTGATTGGCCAGTTGTTAAGTTTGATTAACATTCTGGAATGGTCGATTGTTGCCTATTTCAACAGTCCTTTAAATAACTGCTTCTAAGGAGTACCTCGCCACGTTTGTATGGTGTTGACGGTGGTTGTTGTCTAATGCAATCTTGCTTCTAAGTTCATGAACCTGCTGCAGTAATTCTCTTTCACGTTCTACAAATGCAACCCTCCCTCTATTAAGGGACACTAGAATAAACAAAGAAATTTTATGCATTTCAACTTAAGATAGCAAATTATTTTGCATTCAACAGAAAGTTACTCTAACCCATCCACTGTCCTTACATGCAACATTATACCGATGTTTGAAAAGGAAAAAGGAATGAGGATGCACAATCGTGTCCTTGGATAGTTCTAATATTCTCATGAGTTTTTTTTATTAACATTAACATAATATGTTTTTCTAGGCAAGTATTCAAAAAATAAAATAATTCCTGATGATGACATAATTAATGTCAAAATAATGAATCACAACATGATGGCGTGCATTTCGATACTTGGACGATGTATTATACTATCTTATAAAGTAATTATTTACAATACTTTGCATATAACACCATTGTTTCTACCGATGCAGTGTGCTCACAGAGAGCATGATGCCGACATGTCAATGTGCAGTGCAAATATTTAAATCCAGATTATACATAGTAAGTACACAACTTTGGCACTAACTTACATTCATCTGTTTGCTGGGGCGAGTTCTCTGAATGAGTTTGAATTTCATGTACATCAGCAAACTTCTCTTTTCTTCCTTTGTTATCCATCATTTCTCGAATCCTTTCCTTCTTAAAAGGTAATAGAAATACACAATGCTAATTTGAAATTGATAAGAAATAGCCAAAGCTCTGTCCACACTAAAAAAAACATTTGTACGCTCATACATATTCATGATGTGATGTCATCATGACCATATTTAGGCATGTGACAGGTTTTTTTTGGTCATATATATGGTCTGAACAGGGCTTTAACTTGAAATGAACACAAAAAAAAACTCTATCAGAAAATCTGCATGAAGTATGAAATATTTATTGTATAAACACTGACTCAAAATGTGTATTATTATAAAATATAGGTGTAACTTCTAAAACGTTGAAAGCAAATTAGTACATTAAATATTTCACATTTGGTCTCTCAATTACTTTCTTCAGTTAAGTCAGTTCAGATCATTTGAAGTTTAGATGTACAGAAACCTAATTTGAAAAAAAAATGTCACACTAACAAATGAACAACAGATTTCAAAAACGTTTAGATCAAATTACATTAAATTTATTGACTCGGAAATACTTAGGAAATTGATTGGCAATATGTTGGGGACAAACCTTTTCTCTCTTAAGTTCTTGCACTTTGTCCCAGATAGCTTCTTCTTCATTTTTTGTCCTTGCTTGTAAAGTACTCACCTGTAGTTGAACAAAAGTTTAACTTAGTTATGTTCTGTCCATGCTATTAAGTCTTCTGTGAAAAATATCTGTCATATGCCCATAAATGGACATGATGATGTCACATAACATCTTTATAAATAGGCAACAAAATGAGATAAGGCAAAATAAACAGTATAAACGAAATTATTGGGCTTTATGCATTTTTAAAAGTTAGAATAAAAAAGACAACAGTTAAAATAATAAATTGATAGTTTAATTTATTTTCATTTATTTGATAGGATTTACATTGTGCACATATACAGAAAACTTTTCAAGGCCCACTCTTCGTATACAGAATCAATCATACACAAAGTGCAACCTCCTCCGCTGCATGGGGAGTATTCGTAGTTATGCGTGTAATCAGCACAACTAATTTAATTCCGAATCATCCAGCTCCTACCAGGTACCAATTATATGCCTGGGTGAAGAGAGGCAAATGAAGATAACGTGTCTCGCCCAAGGACACAAGCAGTGTGATGAGCATCAGTCTCAAACCACGACCTTCCGATTTAAAGTCAAACACTTTACAGGCTGCGCCACACTTCTACATAGTTTGGACAGACCTTTAGCAATTGGATATTTATAAATAAATTTGAATTCACCTTCCAACAGATGATAATGCAAATGATGACATTAACAACAATAATAATAATAATCCAATTACTTTTAAAATAGTAAACCATTTTTTTGATGTACTTATGCTAGCTTTCGTCTTGTTGTCAACAAGACTTCGTAAAAAATAATTGGATTATCAGTTACAAAACCAAATGAAACTATCTGATAATAATAATAATAATACAGTACGACGACAACAACTGTAATGAGAATAATATTAATAACAGCAATAAGCAACACTGTTTTAGTGAGTAATATTTGTATATACCAATAACTATTATGATAGGAATTGGACGAGTGCTATTAGCAAATTTATAAATGCTTATTTTGACTAGGTACCAGCCATGTAGTTTTAAAAAAAAAAAAAAAAAATATATATATATATATATATATATATATATATATATATACTTTTAATAAACATTTTAGTTAGATTTATTGATTGATATTTGACAGAAATGTTCATCAATATCTCTTCTTTTATAAATTATAAAAGCCTAAAATTGGTCGAGATACTGATTCTCGGACGTTTTATGCTCTGGGGCAATATTAGAAATTAGGGGTTTGCTTGAGCCGTTAACATAAAAGTAAAGATACGTATCATGAATTAATAAAGTTTAGGTAAGTGAGCCATGCTCATACCTCAGTTGGTATGGTAAAGGAATGATGTCAAAGCAGTGATTTGATTCCTGGACCTGCATTGCAGAGTATCTTGAGTTTAATATGTGAAAACTTTATTTAGCAGTGTTCACATTTACCTGTAACTGATGTAGCTTTCTGTGAATATGATCCAGTGTCTCGCGATGTTTCACTTGATTGTGGAATTCACTGTCGGCCATTTGTTGGTCAGCTAATGCTAATCTCCACTGTGCATTCTGTGGAATCGTCAAAATAATTGGTGATATGTAAATCAGAAAAAAATGTTCAGATGTGAACATTTATTTTTGTTTGCCAAATTCAGTTTTCAACCTACCGTATTTCAGCTCTTTTTTGTTGTTGTTAATTTCATGGAAATACAACATGAATAATATGTTGATATATATTTATTTATTTCATATAGTACCTTACTTTTCAAATATGAATGATTTTTGTCCCAGGTCAACATGCTTAGGTGTTATTTCGTTAAACAGCCCAAGAGCAGGCAAACCCCACCAGGTACCCTTATATACTCGTGGGTGGAGAGAAGCAATGTAAATAATGTGCCTTCTAAAGGACACCAGCACAATAGACAGTGAGGAATTGAAACATCACCTTCACTGTTGGAAAACCAAGATGAACCCACTGAGCCAAATGACTTCTACTTTGTCTCACCGTTTTGTCTTGTTGATGCTGAAGCAGATCGCTTTGCCAGGCTTTCTTGCCAACCCTTTCCTCAAGCTCAGCCTGTTGTCTGTGAGAGTCATGACCAACCCGTTCCTTGAAGTCCACAGCACTTGATTCCCTGGCCAATTCCTTAAGGAAAAACAATAACAATTATAAAACCAAAGAAGTAATATAATGTTTGCCAATATGTATAATATTAGTATAACATGAAAGATGTGTAATATTGCCAGTGTAATGAATGTTAGCCTACAAATGGTAATGGTCTAAACAGGTTGACTGCCTGACCTTTTTTTTTTAGGTTCCTTCCTGTGTGCCAAAACAATATAAAATGTAAAAACATACTTTTTGGAAATTTTATCTAGTCATATATCATCAAAATGGTGTGTCTAATAGATCGGCGGAAAAAAATGTTAGGGGACGAAAAGCATGTCGCCAGCAATGGGACAGAACTTTTAACTGCCTCTGTCAAGTGCGAGTTTTCTCGTCCGCTTTTTGCATGTACTGGTATATGTTCAGAGGGCGCCCACTCGTGCAATCGAGTGTACTGATGGCAACATAACACAACAAACATATATACGTTATTTGTAAATTATCGTCTAGGTGTATCTTCCCCGAACTATCAGCCATTAAGTCTGTGGTTTTACAATGTATAAAAATGATGTAATAAACGCTAGAACGATTTTGACACATGTCTCAGCGCAACATCCTGTGGGACGAGTATACTCATCGCTGGCAGTGAACGTGTTAAAGTGGCTCGAGTCTGGATGGGTAGGTGTATTTATATACTTGTACTTAGCTGTACATACCTGCTCTAGTCTCTCTTTTTGGATCTCCAATTCCATGCTTTTAATCTCCACATCGGCCACAGCAGATTGAGTTTCTTGATCGCGTAGCAGAGACTGCAGTCGTAAAAACCAAAATATTGTGAGTAAATGAATGTATTATAAGAGAGCAGCTTATGCTCTCAGTCGGCTAAACTGTTGGTAGCCACTGTGTGTGCGCTGAACCGTGGAGATCTCTTGGTCCCCGGTTTAATTCCGATCGCTGCTCTCCTTGTATTTCAGCTAGAAGACTGGAATGCAAGTTACGATAGAGCACCGTCTTTCGGATGAGATATTTAAGCCATTGGTCACGTGTGCATAATAGCCCATGTGCACATTAAAGATCTTATCCTTTAAATAATTAAAAATTATCCTTGGTATTTACATCTAATAAATCCAATTCAATCCATACATCTTTACATCCTTTAATTATTCAAAGGGGAGTCGAAAGGTTGAGCGGTCAGCAGGGGCAGCAACTACAGCCATAATACCAGCACTGGTTCGAGCGGCACGCTCACTAATGATTCTGGTGGTTGAATTAAGTCTTCTCAAATAGGACTATAAACCGCAGGCCCAGTGTACACAAATTGGCTCATGTGCACTTAAAAGAACACAGTACATCTTTCGAGACAAGTAGGGGGGTCACCCTGGTTTACTAGTTCATACAGTCCCGATTGCCCTGCGATTATGGATCCTAAGATCCTTTGCAGGATGTACCTTCGTAAACATAAACAAAGTGTATTTAAATGGACTATATTCTATGGGCAAAAGGCACTCCTATTTCAAGTCTACTAAATAATTATGCCACTGCTTCTACCTTTCTCATAAGTTCATCGTCAAGCCTCTTCAACTGCGTATCTCGTTGACCTTGCAGGTGCTCCATGAAACGCATCCTGGTTGCGTCCAACACTTGCATCTCGCGCATACAGAGTTCACGTTTCATGGCCTGTAATCTATACATTGAATAGTTACAAGATCCTTTTGTCAAAAAGATTATAAATTTTTAAAATATTAGGTGCCATTTTGTAGACATATATTAAACAATTTTTTTGGCAAATGTAAACCCCTCTCCCACGTAGGTTGATTTCATACAAGAGTTACACAGGTTCTATGAGTTAAAAACTCATTATCTAATTCGCTTGGGAAAGGACCTCTATAGGAGTTTACGTGTTAGGTACGAGTTAGGTACGACTTTACGGAGTTGGTTACAAGTCATGTATGAATTATGCTGAGTGAAGCACCAAGTTTAATTCCTATGGGCTTTACAAGATTATTATGAGCGTAAAAAGTTTCTAATGAATTATGCTCCTGGTGATTGTAGCCAACTCGATGCTCTCATACTCAACTCATACTAATTTTCGGGGTGCTCGCACCAAACTCGTGGATGGCAAAACCACCAACGGGTATCCCAGGTAGTATACGAGTTAGGTAAGAGTACCCTGAGTACTCCACGAGTTACCTATGGTTTCTTTGGTTTTCAACTCGTAGCGTGAATTTTTTTAACATATGTTCAAAGTTAGCCCCACGAGTTGAGAGCTGCTACTAGTAGGTAAGAGTTCCCTCCAAGTTTTCTAAATCGTCCTACACGTGCCGAGTTAGCAACTCGGTAAACTCTTGTAACTTATGCTGAAAAAAAAAGCCGTAGTGGGAAAGGGGCTTAAGAGTATGCAACCTGTTTACCATCTAGAAAGATTTGTTGAATCGAGAATCTCACCTAAGTCTTTGATCAGCAAGTTTTTGTTCCTCTGCCATTATGTTTCTTCTCCTTTCTTCTTCTGCTTCTTGCAGGAGTTCTTGTTGGTGATACCAGGCCTCCTCCTTCTTCTGCCTCAGTTGCGATTGTTGTTTAATCTCTGTCGCGACTTGTCTCTGATGCAGGTAGTCCAGTTCATCTTGCCTGATTTGCTCCCGTTCTTGGGCCTAAGTCATCCAAAATGATGCAATCGATAGATCAGGAATAACTAAATATTTAAGAAATGACTAAATGACATGGTTATTAAATAACGTTCCTTTTTGCAATACATTTTGGGTGAGCAAAAGGGTTATAGGAACTTTACATTTATTATTTTAATCACAAATGTGACCTTAGAGTTGTGGAAATCTAATCATTTAAAATCTGCTTAAATAAAAAAAAAAATTAGTGCATTCAATGATACTCATCATAAAATGTGATTGCATATCAACAGAAAAAAACACAAAATAGTTTACTTCAGAGATTCTTAAATTATGGGTCACGAACCAAAATTGGGTCACCAAATAAGATAGAGGGTCTAAAACTCTAGATTTATAACTGAAATAGAATTTTATATACTAGTAAAACTGTAGCTGGGAAGTGGGTCATGGCGAAATTACCTGGACATTTGTTTGGGTCGTCTGCTAAAAAGAACTACTGGCCTACAAACATTATGTTCCAAAAGTATATATGACAGTATTAGTTTTTTATTTTTTTAAATTTCTTACACATCAAATAGTAAAGTTTAAAGTCTACCAATTACAGGATAGAACAATGTCACATGTTTTAAAATCAGTGATGTAAATAAAGGAAACACTTCTTTTAAGACATAAACATACCTGGTAGTCGACTATAAACTTGGGGTATTTATTAAAAACCGGATACTGGCCCCGAGTCAGTGGTTTAAAATCTTCTATCGAGTTAGCAGGATTAATTTCAGGAGGAGTGGTGTCTTGAAGTTCATATGCTGTTTTCAGCACTGAGTTAATATCCACAGGATTGCGATGATGAAAGAAGTACTATTGAAAATATAACACATAACCTTTTTAGTTGATATCAATTTCGTTAATAAATTATCAGTGATGGATCCGAAGTGCAGAGTGTGTGTTAAGGTGACGACCGGGAGAATATTGACAGTCAAATTTTCTATTCTTTAGTAAAATTAATAGACGTTAGAGCAAGAGCATCAAAAAGACTTGGATTCGAATCCGAATGGGATGAAATGCTTTTCTAAAAAAAAATATTTATCATCTTTTATATTTGTTGTCATTATGCATTTATCAATTCACAGAAATATTTACTTAGTGGGTGTATTACAAAAAGTTATGAAAAGCATTCAGTAATAATGATCAACACCACAAAATTGAAAATTAGCGAAATTGATTTTATTTAGCTAATCTTAAACTATACGCATGCCATTCTTTAAAAAGAAAATCAGATTTTACCATGTGGCATAACAAAAATAAAAACTAAACACACACTTAAAAAAAAGCCAAAACTGGGATACCAAAGGGATCACATTCAAGAAATTATTGATTGATTGGACAACTTACTTCAAAATCTGAATGTTCAATGCAATTTATCAATGGCTGTCTTGAGCAGATGAGGTAAGCCACCACAATACACAACATAAAGGATGGATGGTTGGTGAATATATTGTCCCAGAGCTTCAACCATTCATCTCTTGTAACAATCTCTGAGAATAATGTCTCCATCATTGGCCAAGCATACACCTGAGGAACAGGTGCAGAGACATAAAGAAGGATTAGGAAGAGAGGAAAAGAAAATGTTACGCTTTTATTAGAGTGTCTCAATGATAGTGTGATTTGGAAAAAGAAAGGCAGCATGATTGTTCAAAATAGTGGTCTTATACCTATTCTAGCAATTTAGTTGCAACTTAGGCTCCAGAATTTAAATACAGGTCTCCTTGCAATTTAAAGACCACTTTTTTGGACCAGGGATTCCATGGTCTTTAGCAGCTTTGGTCTCTTTAGAATAATAAAAATAATTGACATTTGTTTATGGGACCACAGAAAAGTGGTAATTAATTGGAGTGGTCTATAATTGGAGTGGTCTTTAATTAGAGGTGGCCTTTAATTAGAGGGAGACTTGTAACCTTTAAGCAGCCTAGAATGTTAACATGGATTAGAGACTATCACAGTGCCTATATATTGTGAAGATGTTTTGTCCTCGACCTTTAAACTCTTCTTGAAAAACTACAATTTTTGGGTCAGTATCTTTTTATAGAAACAGCAAACTATTCATAAAATACTTCTGATGATTTAGAGTAGTTTAGTGACGTTCAAACCAAAATTTATCAACATAATATGACTTTCGGCAAAAGCATTAGGGAGAATCCTTGTATTTTCCTACTGTACGTTCACATAATTAAATAGACCCCTCCAGTTAAAGACCACCTCCAATTAAAGACAACTTTTCTTAGGTCTCATATCAACAAAAGTCTTTAATCTTTATTATTCTAATTAGAGACCAAAGTTACTAAAAACCATGGAAACCCCAGTCCCAAAAGTAGTCTTAAATGGGAGGGAGATCTGTAATGTGTAATGTAATAAATGCCTAGGTCATTTCTTTAAGTTATGATGCAATATATAACACAATATATTTTTAAAAACCTTAGAGTACAGTAATGTATATATGTATTAATGTGCTTTCTCTACTAATTTCTAGTTTTGTCAATGTAACAAATTTCCATTTTGCCAAATAAGGTTTTCAGTATTCAGCAAATATGTATAGTGCTACTCGTAACTGCACCACTCATAATTGCGTCAATAACAGGTCATGCAACTGTGGTTATCAATTGCTTCTAATGATTGATGTGACAGTGATTCTCTTACCTGAGTTGTGATGCCGTACTTGACAAAGTGTTGCAAGAGTCCTTTGTCATGGTGAGCGAGAAGGTTTTCGACGATGGAAAGGACATTGATTGGTGGGTTTGGGAAGAACTCAAACCAATGCTGACACCAATTCACTATAAATATAACAATCACCATGGGTCTCAAAAACACATTGTCTTTTAATAGATGAAAATGATATCTTAATCACAAAGAATCACTGATGCATAATTAGCCAAGAAAGTATTTTATTGTTTTTATTTTCATTTAAAAGTAATTGAAATATTGACATTTTTTTAGCTTAATTTACAGAAAGTATACTTTAAAACATTGGATTTTTTGATTGGTTGTCTTCAGACTTTTGAAGTGTTTTGAATAAAGACAATAAGATATATCAAGAAGAAGCTTAAATTTGATTGTCTAACATGATATTTAAAGGTCTTCTAGATAAATTATATTCAGCTAAAAATTCACAATTTCCAGTTGTGTGGATGTTTCAGTAGTACGCATACCTAACACAGTAGCTATGATTTCAAAGCAGACTAATTGGTTGTTCTGAAACAGCTTGATGAACGGGAAGGCCAGAACAGGAAGGTAGTTGGTCTCACCGAAAATCACACTCCAATGGGCCAAAGCTGACAGTGTTCTATTAAACAGAGAAAATGAGGATGAGTTAAAATGTTTTACCGCAGAGGACATATATGTAAAGATCAGTATTGGCAAAAAATTAGGAACCAAGAAAATTCTGCTCCAAAGCCAATCTCTTACAGTAGTGCCAACATTATGATTGCCAAATATTCTCCAATTATACAGAAAGTTTAAAAATAATACTTATAAAGCTAAAGGAATAAGATTAAATAATTTTGATGTTGTTTGTATCAGGAAATGTTATAGGAATGATGTTTTTTACCCCTACCTGATGTGTTATCGTACTAAATGCTCAGTATATTCTCAATTACTTGCAAAAAAACTAGCGACTAAGTGCAAGCTTGGTGGTTTAGTGGTCATGCCACCAGGCAAGTTATCTGGAAGTTGTAGGTTCGATTTACATCCGAATCATTTACGATTTTTATTCACAAGTATTTGGGAACGTAATGAGTATTCAGTATGAAAACATGTCAGGTATGACAATAACATCATTCCTTTAGATTGGGAACGTAATGAGTATTCAGTATGAAAACATGTCAGGTATGGCAATAACATCATTCCTTTAGATTGGGAACGTAATGAGTATTCAGTATGAAAACATGTCAGGTATGGCAATAACATCATTCCTCTAGATGTATTGTACCTCTGTAGAACTCTGAGAAGTTTTCTGCTTTTGATTGGATAATCTTCATGCACCTTGGACCATGCCGTGTGAGTCCCTTTGTCCACCAAATTACTGAAGGCTGTGTGATTCTCAGGGAGTCGAAGCACCGAGCGCCAGATGAACATCCTAACAGAAAACAAAACAGACAGAAGGACTTTACTCCACTCTCTCATAGCTGTTGGAGGTTCAAGATCTTTCTTTTTATTAACTTGGGCTTGGTTACAATTTCTACTTTGTGTATTAAAAGCCTTGTCCAGATTACCAACATTTCTCTGTAGTATGCCCATATTTAGCCATGTCACACATTTTTGTTAAATAAAATTTGTCTGGACAGAGCTTAAGACCGGAGGAATGTGTCCATATGACTGCACTCACCACATCTGGAGAGCAACTGGAGACTGCAAATAGAATTCCCCCAAATTGCAATGTACTAACCACTCAGGTGTTGAAATGAATGTGGTGCAGAGGAAAGGTGGCTGCCAGAATATTCAAAATTTCTTACCTATACTTGGCAGGGTATTCTCCATAGCCTTTGAGAATAGCTTTCAGTCTGTTCATATCAAGGCCGTCTGGCAATCCAGTCACCTGTGGGAAAAATATCCAAACAAGGCAAGTTAATATCAAAATATGAAAATTATATATTTGGGCAATATACACATTTTAAAGATTGAGTATCTAAATTGTATATTTTTAACAGAGAGGAAAATATTAAATTAAGGTTTCAAATTTAGAAAAAAAGAAGTTGGTAAACTTATCTGATCTTTTTAAATGAGCAACTTCAATATATGAATTTTTGAGAGTTTACCTCTGACAGCATATCGTAATTAAAACCTCGAATAGAAGCGCTGGGCTTCTTTTTTTCTTTGCAAACTTTGGAAAGGTTTCTTTTCAAGATGGGCTTCTTTTCTAGGCTACTTTTGCAAACTAAAGAAGGGGCTTTCATTCAAGGTGGGCCTCTTCTCGTGATTAAGCCTAATGGGCTTCTATTTGAGGCTTTACGGTATGCTGCCTTGATTTGGAAAAGAAGCCTTATCTCCAAAATCCTAGTTTTGAGATATTGTGCAAAATGCATTTGTCATTATCCTTTTGTACTGGTAAATAATATATTTATTTCATATTTCTGGACATTTTTTGGGGGTATATGATCAATTCACATGATAGATTACATCCATAGGATGCCCTAGAACCAAAAATTTCAAAATCTCAAAAAGTGGAGTTAATGCCTTTTTCCTAATCGTGGCAGTATAGTATTTCTCAACAGAGTAGATACAAAAAAAAAACAAAACTGGAAATTACACCATACTTCCTCCGGTATATGCCGACCGCATCGTTCCCGAACACAAAATTGGGCTGATTTTTTGACATGGGCTTATACACAAGAATTCCCTTTTACAATGATTTTCTTCAGAGATAGCCAGACAAAAGACAGTTTTCCAGGACTGCATGCTTAATTCACGTCCAATCTCTGATTTTGTTTCTGAAAGTACTTGTAAAAGTCAGCTAAGCTACTTATTCAGAATCATACATTGAGCTTTTGCCTGTGAAAAGGCCAATACATAAAATTGGGCATAAAGTAGAGAGTGGGTTTATGCCAAAGGCGGGCAAACCAAAGGAACTACAGTATATGCAAAAGTTGCAAAGTAGATAAGTAACTGCTTGAGGAACAGAAATAATAATTAAAAAAAAAAAAACTGCTCACATCATCTTCTGAATCTTTTGTGGAAGCTGTATCCATTGGCAACCGGGGCTCCTCTGTCTTTAAAGTTTTACTCCTTCCCCTTCCTTGTCCAGCTTTAGGATGAGTGACTGACCTAATTTGAGTTCCCTGCCCCTTCTTTGTTACCATCTTTACAAGAGGAGGTGGCGGCTACAGAATAATAATGTATGCATTTATTATTATATTAGATTATTTATATTTATTATGTTATGCATGCATGTAGGTATTTTCATAATTCCTGGGAAATTCATTAAATTTAAGATATAATAACTTTAACTACTGTATATATGAATTCAGGTGGGGGAGGAGGTCGCCGGCCAAAGACTTTCCCCCCCCCACAATTTTTTAAAAAATGAAATAAAAAAAAAATGGAGAAAAAAGGAAATTATATTCAAATTTAGTCTGAAAGTGCCATTTTCGGCCATGTAGGGGTGCCATAATCATAAATTTTCTGAGGTGATCTGAACCCTAGATCTGTGAAAGTTCCTCTATTTCAAATTCTTGGGTCCACAACTGTATAATTCCTTATTACCTTGTTCCGTTCCGCTGTAAGAGATGATACACAATACAAATTCAGACAACCGCTTTCCACCACAGCAACAATATGGCGACCAGATGGGCTGACATCTGCATTCAGTATACGGTCCTCAAGACTGCCAATGTCAAACTCAAGACGGAAGCTGAATATGTTGATAAAACGCATGATACCATCCTGGCTTAGCACTCCAACAACCTATAAAAAAAACAGAAAAATCAAGTTGGTGAGTCGAATGGCCGAGCAGTTAGCAGGGGCGCCGCAAGCTATAGCCATAATATCGGCGCTGGTTCGAACGGCACGCTCGCCTATGGTTCTGGTGGTAGAACAAGTCTTCTCGGATAAGGACTATAAATTGTAGGCCCAGTGTATACAATGGCTCGTGTGCACTATAAAGAACCAAGTACATCCTTCGAGACAAGTAGGGGGATACCCCGGTGTACTGGAATGGCAGCCCCTGTGGTGGACGATGAGAGTTGCTGGTACCGGGTTACCGGGTAGCACAGATACAAAGGGACCCTTGGGGGCGAAGAAAGTCATTGATCGAGTTCCTAGTCCACATATCTTGCGCCCTGAGCATCTTACATTAGATGGATTTGTGCACTATATAAAACTACACTATTATTATTATTATTATTATTGTCTGTATAAAACTAATATATAAAAATATTTAAAATAATTCAATATTTTACAGCTTACTTTGTACTTTATGCTGATTATAGTATGTTCTTTACATGGTTTTTTTCACCAAATTTCTTTAGTTATCTTGCTTTGTTTTAACAACTGATTCTGATTATACGGGAACTTTACTATCACCACTACTATCACCATAACCATCATCTTTGTTTTTAATCATTTTCATTGTAATCATCATCATCTTTATTCATTATCATATCATATTTTCATAATATTACTATATCAATATCATCGTCATTACCATATCAAAATCCATCATTATCTTCATCATATCAATATTATCATCACATCAATATCACCATCAATATTATTATACCAATACCATCATCATCATTATCATCAATTATCATATCAATATTTTTAACATATCAATATCACCTTCATATCAATTTCATCAACATCTTCATCATTTAATTATTGTGATTATGAAGGAGACCCACCTGCCCTGAGCCTCCATCAAAACTCTCAGGTAGAAACTGCAGCTGTTTGACTACATGAACTTTAGTAGGCAACTCAATGACACGAAGTAGACTCTGTGTGTCCAGACACCAGATATGTAGAAACCTGGACTTTCCTCCTGCTACCAACATTCTACCATCTCTACAATTTTTTTTAAATAGAAAAAAAAAAAACATTCACAATATTTAAACTGTTTACTATTATGTTTATTATCGTTTACTATTATGTTATTACTGTTTTATTATCACCAACAAGTTGGTTATCAACAGCTCCACTCACTGAATTAATATATATCAATGTAGAGATATGGGAACAATTGGATTTTTCTAAGGAGGGTGGGCACTTTGAGTCTACACTCACACTTCAGCCCCACCAGGACAAGGATACAACACCAGTCTGCATTCAGTATACGGTCCTCAAGACTGCCAATGTCAAACTCAAGACGGAAGCTGAATATGTTGATAAAACGCATGATACCATCCTGGCTTAGCACTCCAACAACCTATAAAAAAACAGAAAAATCAAGTTAAAGAAATACTGTCTGTATAAAACTAACATATAAAAATATTTAAAATAATTCATTATTTTACAGCTTACTTTGTACTTTATGCTGATTATAGTATGTTCTTTACATGGTTTTTTTTAAACAAATTTCTTTAGTTATCTTGCTTTATTTTAACAACTGATTCTGATTATAAGGGAACTTTACCATCACCACTACTATCACCATAACCATCATCTTTATTTTTAATCATTTTCATTGTAATCATCATCATCTTTATTCATTATATCATATTTTCATAATATCACTCTATCAATATCATCGTCATTACCATATCAATATCCATCATCATTATCTTCATCATATCAATATTATCATCATATCAATATCGCCATCAATATTATTATACCAATACCATCATCACCATTATCGTCAATTATCATATCAATATTATTAACATATCAATATCACCATCATATCAATTTCATCAACATCTTCATCATTTAATTATTGTGATTATGAAGGAGACCCACCTGCCCTGAGCCTCCATCAAAACTCTCAGGTAGAAACTGCAGCTGTTTGACTACATGAACTTTAGTAGGCAACTCAATGACACGAAGTAGACTCTGTGTGTCCAGACACCAGATATGTAGAAACCTGGACTTTCCTCCTGCTACCAACATTCTACCATCTCTACAATTTTTTAAATAGAAAAAAAAAACATTCACAATATTTAAACTGTTTACTATTATGTTTATTAACGTTTACTATTATGTTTATTATTATGTTATTTCTGTTTTATTATCACCAACAAGTTGGTTATCAACAGCTCCACTCACTGAATTAATATATATCAATGTAGAGATATGGGAACAATTGGATTTTTCTAAGGAGGGTGGGCACTTTGAGTCTACACTCACACTTCAGCCCCACCAGGACAAGGATACAACACCACAGATGTCTGTGAAATTGCACTACAAATATCAAATTTCAACTTTCCCATTTGTGGGTGCGCACCCCTAGTGGATAGGGAACTCCTCCGTTTCTCGGGAAGTATTCTTAGCAGTGCATGTGATTTTTCCTTAAGAATTTTTATCTGAAATATTTAATCACATACTAACAGGTACCCATTTAAATCTCTGGATAAAAAAAAAAATAATTAAATAAAGGGTACAATATAGCTTGCAACCTTTTCGATTAGAAACGCTGCCTTACCAACGTGCCACAAGATTCAACAATTTATAATTGTAGCAAACAGAAGCCCCTCTGCACACCTACGCAACCAAATGAGGTTAAGTACAAGTATCTATTAAGTATCTATCTAGCTATTCTATTCAGTGGCGTATCTAAGCATTCTTGATATGAGGGAGGCCTGAAGAGGGCGCAGGCCTGAAGGGGGTTTGATGTTAAATGGGGGAGGTGAAGGTTGCAAAAAAATAAGGTGGTATTGGAGTGATTTTTTCGCTCCGAGCATTTTCAATGAGCGGGAAGCAAATGGGGAACAAGTTTTTTGGGCTGTGCATCCCAGCGCACCCTCTAGATATGCCAATGACATTCCTATTATCAGCTTCAAAAGGATTCTTAGTATTTGTGTATTTCAAAGTGATATTTATATACCTTGTTGTTGCGAAAGCCTTATACTGAGGACGTTGACCTTCAGGCACTGGAAGTTGATATTTACACTTGAGAGTATCCGACTCCCATGCAAAAATGGAATCATCCTTAAAACATGTGATAATGGTGTTACTAAGTGGCAGGAAGAAAACCTTTAAAAAAAATGTATTTTAAAATTATTTTTAATTATCACTATTACTAATATTCGATATAGTGGTTCCAAACTTTTTAATGAACTCCCCCTTGAAATTATATCGGCCCCTTCCAGGAAAATTTTTTCTTTTAAGGTCAAGAAATATCTCTTATCTAAATATGTTTAAATCAAATCAAAATCAAAGTTTATTTTTCTATTAAATACCCTTATTATAATACTTACAAATTTTTGCCTAATCATTTCTCCACTTCCATCTGCTCCGTGTTGTATCCATGTTTTGTACTTGTTTCGTTTATGAATTTATTCCAAGAAATATATGCTTTCGTAATTATATGGGTCGCTCGTTACTAGTGCCTCTTGATTGTGTTTTTTCTTTTTGTTATTTGGAGTATACTTTTTGAGCAGTGCCCTCTTTTACACAAGTCTTATTTTTTATGAAATCCGGCTGTTTAATGTTTATCATTTGTTATCATATTGTGTGAAGAAATAAATGTTTATTTGAATTGAATTGAATTGAATTGAACAGCAAACAGTGGAAGTGATTAGCTGGAATTCAAATCCATGACACCATAATTTCTAACCTAAACCACTGAATTTACTCTGGGGACTAAGGTGAGTTTGATTCGCATACAGCAGTGGGTACTGCAATAATGTTGCAAAAGGGAATGGTGCCAATGGTTGTTTTTCCCTGAAAGGTTTTTATTAAGGATACAAACTGAGATCAGTATAACTACAATTTCAGGTACATGGGCATAGCTTTTTATTGTAGTCTGCATTGTCCTAAAGCAAGACTTTCTTTATACCTTGTTTAGTGAACCCAGCACCCACCAATAATTATTATTTTGAATCAAAATAAAATTTTATTCTTTGGTCAATTAGTACACACACGCCACCACGAAAAAATGGACATTTTAGAAAAAAATAAAAGCTTTCTTTATTTTTATCAAGCCCGCCTTTGCCTTGAAATCTCCAAAAATAAGATATGTATATTTCTTTCAAATTATAAATCTAAAGCATTTAACTATTCCATTGCTACACTGTTTACGTTCACCAATAAAATTTTATATTTAAGAAAAAAAAACAATTATTTTCTATTTTCCCCTCCTCTGACGACCTTGCGAAACAAGGTATAAAAAAGTCTTGCCTAAAGTATTACAGTACCTTCACAATATCAACATTATCTTTGACGTTGAGTTTTCTCTTTCTCGTGAACGTGTCCAAATCCCAAAGCAGGGCAGCATCTGACGAGGTCGTGATTGCATAACGTCCAGATCCATGAACGGAGATTGAATGCACAGCGGTCTTGTGGCCTTTCATCCAACTCACTAGCTCTTTGGTGTCTTCAATGAGAGAAAATGAACACAATTCAAAGACAAAATAACTCCACTCCACTCAATATTAAAGCCTTGTTATGAGACTTAGTTGTGTATTAATTTGTCTGTCACTAGGCGTATTCGACTGGTCTGTTTTTTAGCAGCTCTTTCTACTCAACTGCACATGTCTCATTTGACTGGTCGCACGAGCAGCACTCCTCACAAGAGCGGCTCAAACTCCTCGGCGTTTTTTAACAAGCACAATCAGAGTAGTAAACCACTCCTCGGAAAAGGACCAGTTGAATACGCTTATTGCCACCTATCTAATAGGACAGTGATCATTAAAGTCACTATTGGTATCAATGGCCATGTGCCTAAAATAATTAAATTGGTCTTCAGGCCCTCAGGAAATAATAAATTTCTACTAAAGTGTATTATACGCAACTATTGTAATTCCTTAATAAGAAAAAAAAAAAAAAACAATATTCATTTAAAATCATTATATGAACATTTAAGCACTCACCAGTATCATAACATTTGATAGAATAGTCAGAGAACGTAGCAAGTATTTCTGTTTTTCTTCGTAATTTGAATGCCAATGATGTACAAGACTTTCCTGTTTTCTGAACTAACTGAAATCTGGAACAATTATATACACAACATAAATCTATCATTATGTAATCATATATGTACATTTTTATGGTATTGCTTTTAAATTCATAAAATGAATAATTATGCGAAGAGGTTCAAGCAAACCATCACAGCATTTTGAATATATACTGTCTGCCAACAAAATTGTAAAATACCTCAAAAATTAAAATAAAGTTCATAAAATTATTAACTTTCAACCAGAAACAGATCATGTATTTCACAACTGTTTTCAATTTGCATAGTAATTAACATAAGGTTCTGCAAATATTCAAATATCTTTGTAAGTAATGCATAACCAAATTTAGGCCTAAGATGAAAATAGGACTGTAGTGGCTGATCCAGGAATTCGAAAGAGGGGGCTCAGGCAGACGACACCCACAAAATTATTATCAACCAGGCGACCGCAAATTTTCAACCCAAATCATGGCAAGAAAATTGATGATAATGGCACCTCTAGACAACCAGAAATGGCACTTTCAGACTCATATTTGAATAAAATTTCTTTTCTTTTCTTTTTCTCCAATTGTTTTTACATTTTTGAAAAAATGTGAGGTTCCTAGGCCGGCTTCCCCCACACCTTGCTTGAATCCGCCACAGGACTGGTAGATGCAGCAGCAGTTGCCATCAGTGTTAAAGAGAAAACTTTATCCTCCTTTACTTTTCAAAAAATAACCTGGATGAAAAACACTTTAATTAAAGTTGGACTCTTCTAGTAAATTATCATTAATAATTACCTGTTTCTTGTTAGGTCAAATACTATAAGGTTGCCTTGATGGTCACCTGCCACAAACCTATCCCCAGAAGAGTCAAATGTTGCGTGGAGAAAGCGTACATTATGGGTATGTGAAAGGAATGGTCCGGAGGAACCATGACTGATTTTCACAATCAACCTAAAATGAAAACAATTAATCATCACAAGCAGGCTAATAATTATGTATTCATATATATATATATATATATATAGATAATATGCATCAACAATAAAAAGCTATGGCAACAACCAAGAAAAAATTAAAAATGAACATTGATTTTTTTGTTTATGAAGTAGTTTTATCTTAAAAAGGAGATCAAGCCATAGACAAATTTTGTTAATACAAAAAAATAAATTAAATTTATTACAATAGATTGTAAATAATTTATTACAAATTGTTAATTTATTTTTTTGTACAAGGATGTATTAAATAGGCTAATATAGCTATTTAATACCTCTTTGTTCATACATAAATTACAGTATGTTAGTTTGATATTATCATTATTATAAAGCAACTTAGAATAATTTTAAAAATAAATTTTAAATAATTAAATTTCATTCTGAGCAAAAACCCACTTTATAAATAGAGAAATAAATAGAGAACAATGAGCATATTTCAATACATAAAAAGAAAAATCTTGGAAATAAAGAACCCACTACTTACTGAGACCATGGAGGAAATCAATTTATTGCATCTATGCTGAAACTATGGCCGTATTCGACTAGCCGTTCTTCGTTAAACCACGCCCACCTGCGTGGTGGTAAAATCCTACTTAACGAAGACGACCAGTCGAATAAAATACTCAAGGAAACAAATGGCTGTATAGTTACCTCGTTACACGCTGTGTAATCAAGGTTGCTTTGGCTTGTGGCAATATGGGTTTTTGTAAAGATATTTTTCCATCCCGTTTTTGAATTTTGTTAGCCTACAATTATTTGTTGGCCTTATGTGGGTAAATATTATAATTATATAATTCTTATTTTCTGAAATTTTATAATTTATATTAACACAAATGTAGCCGCTAAACTGATCGGCCATGTTTGTTTTGGTCACATGGATAATTTTAACACTGATTAACGCACTGTGGTTTACTGTACGTTAATTTTCGTTGTCAACTTAATAGTCTATTTTACCAACAGTCGAATGAAAATAAATACTCAAATAGTACACAGAGTTATGCAACTAGAAATAGGCCTAGGTTCAAGGGCAAAGTTGAATAAGCTCTACTCTAGGCTATGTTTAACACCATAAGTCTGCTCGTCCATTGAAAATGAGGGCTCCAGTGGTGACCTGTGACAGATCAATCAATATGGTTTCTGCTACTAGTTACTATCAAATCAAATCATTCTTTATTGCAACTCACTAAGAGGGTTGAATTTCACAAAAAGTAATAGGGAAAAGTTAAAAATCCAAGCAATCAACATTGAAAATAAACGACAAAAAGGACCAATATCACGAAAACAGCTAAAAGACACAAGATGATGAAAGGTAAAAAAGACAATCGAATACATTTTAATTATCAAATGGTTATTATTATTACTATTTTAATATTATCATTATTACCACTACCACCAGCATTATTATTAAAATTATTATCTTTGAATTGAGAATATTAGAATAATTTTAGTAACGAATGTTGAAAAACTAGTAACTAGCCTAGGCCTGACGGTACTACTACTACTACTACTACTACTACTACTAGGCCTACACTATTCGTACGACGGTCGGATTGCACGGCCTACCTAGGCCTATATTAGGCCTAGAACTCGTAGTACTACTAGGCCTAGGCCTAGGGCCTAGCTAGCTAGAGCCTAACCTAGGCTAGGCCCCTACCTAGTCCTAGGCCTGACACTAACTAAGCCAGGCCTACTCAAGTGTATAGGTCGATTTTGCATTGTATACCCACTTCAGTAATTATTTAAGTGTTACATACCCATCTTCATAAGAAGCAGAAGGCTTTCTGTGCCATATTTTACCAGATTCTTTCTTGGCTATATCTAGATGTTGCATTTTTATTTAGGGCACAGACGCCTACCTGTCTGGGGTGGTACGGTAGAGTTTTGTTTATTATTTTGAATTTAGCGCCCCCTTTGGTTTGAGTTATTATTTAATATTTTGATCATGCGTGTAACGTGAATGATTTAAAAAAAATCTCGCAACAGTAAATATATATAAAATTGAAGCAATGGAAATCAAAACATTTAACAGCATAAATAATACTTAATTTAAAAACTAATCGTGGCATTTACAGTAAACTGTGTGAACAAGGCCCATAATATCTTTACGCATGCTCAATCACCTTTGACATCTATTTGGGTTACGTCGACTACTCTGTGTGCAATAATGTGTACACAAGTCTATTGACAGTGTAGCACTTTATTCTGCTTAATTATAACCATATCTAGTCATTTTAGCTTACGTTTAGAAAGCTTAACAGTAACTGATTAGGAGAACAGTATAGTTTTACATTTTAGATTGATCTAGGCCTATACCATCTTAATTCACCATCAAAGACCTGAGGGCCTGTGTCAGTGAGGCTGTGTAGACGTTTTGCATTGTCAGCAGGCGGGGAGAGTGAGTGGAGCAACACCTGGAGAGAGGTGTGACTCTAATTCAACCAACGAAATCCTGACTCCTACTCTAGCCTAAGCCTAGCAGGGAAGGTACTTTACTTGTACCAACGGACTTTTTTTTCTAGAAACGGAGAATGGCTTCTAACGACATCGGCGATTGGTATCGCGGTATACCTCAAATTACGAGGTTTTGGTTTAGTGCTTCTGTGGCTCTACCACTGATGGCAAAAATAGGCATTTTGAATCCCATTCACCTGGTGTTAGACTACACGCTTGTTGTTCACAGATTCCAGGTGAGTTTCTTGAGATGTCTGTTGATGTACAGTATATATGCCTAGCCTTTCCTCTAGTTTTTTAACGTCGCCATATTCTACTAATTCTGAATTCACCTATCCCAGATTATTCATGTATAAAAATGATTGTTGTTATTATTTAATATGATTCTTTAAATTTGTATTTTTGTTTACAGATATGGCGTCCTATCACAGCTCTTTTCTTCTACCCAATAACTCCAATGACTGGATTTCATTATCTTATCATGTTGTATTTTCTCTATAGCTATTCTGTAAGGTTGGAGACTGGTAAGAAAAATATACAATATTTCACATTTGTCTGTAGATAGACCTATGGAATGATGCTTTATGTCATTTTATGTACTTCAGTCAATCATCATCATATATTTTAACACATTGACTCATTGAACAATAATCACTATTTATGCTACACTAATAACATGACTTATTTCTATTCTTTCATTTTATTGCAGGTGTATTTGATGGAAGACCAGCTGATTACTTATTTATGCTTATTTTCAACTGGATTATACTTGTAGTATCCTTTATGTTTTATTTTTATATTTCAAGCTTTATTTACTTAAAAGTATGGAATAAAGTACAAAATGATATAATATTTTGTACGCCATGATGTGGCAAATAAAGCCTAAGGTATCCAATTTATTAGGCTTAATTAACATCTGACAGACTCAACAAAAATGTTTGATCAGCCATTGATGATTTGTTATATTAACACTCTGACCGCCAAACATGGAGATCTCCATGTTTCAGGTTTTTAAACAGCATCCGATAGATGGGGTAGTTATCGACATGTAATAACAGCTTGAACATTATATTCAGTCTGCACCATAAGCATTTCACTATTTGTTTTTTTACATTAGCATAGAGCAGTATTGATTTACTTTCACGAAATCGCGATTATCTCAGCTTCGTCTGCAAAATTGCATAAATCTCAAAAATAGTCATTTTCAATTTACTGTTATGGGTCACAGATTGTGATTAGAATAAAGTGTTTGGTACCATTGTAAAGCTAAAATGTTTAGTTCTTGTAGTATTCACTTACATGTTGATCTGATTACATACACACTCTCAACGAGTTTTAGAAGAGGGTTAAAATTTGCTAAAAAGTCTGGTGATGGCTGATACTATTTTTTCAAACCCCTGGCGGTCAGAGTGGTAAAGCCCTGTCCAGACTATCAAATACCATAGCCACATTGTCACTATATATGGGAAATTTTTCTTCAAACAATATTTGATAGTGTGGACAGTGCTTTAGAGACACAGAATATGTTTGATCAGATAATAAATAAAACAAGCATACAGATCAGAATAAATCCTGTTTTAGTACAGGAGACTTGATTTTATTCAACGTTTACACACTATATTGTGTCATATTTCCTGAACAACTTCTCCAGATAATAGGATTTCTTGTACCATTGTATGTAAGTTGGTTCCTCAGTAACATTTAATAATAATACAGTATCTTAATTATCTTTTCTGAAAATAGTAAGGACCCCCCCAGAGACCTGAGTATGTTTTCCATAGATATTTGATCCAATAATCTGGATATTTGAAATGAGAAAAATCAACCTCTCACAGAATTTTACCTTGAAATTTGAAGGGAAGAATTTTAACTACCTAGCAACATCTTTTTCTTTTTTATTTTGGGAAAGGACTTTTTCTGTCTATTTTTGTTAATTTATTCTTTATTCTGGGTAACTTGATCAGTGCAAAATCAGTGTTATCCTCCAGGCCAAGTGTTGTTAATACTCCTCATTACAAAAGGCTTTTGGTGTACATACCTTACTCTGTCAGAAGAATCATGCTTGATAAAGATATTAAACTTGTCTGAGCTCCTACCAACACTATCAGAATAATACATTCCCCTTTGCTACTTCAGGCTTGATTTCCACCTACCCTCACATAATTGTATTGCCTCAAGACAGGTGAATAAAGATATGGTTGATAGTAATAATAATGTTGTCTAATTTTTTTTTTTGTCTAGTTACTTCTGGACCCAATGGTTCTCAGCGTACTGTATGTATGGTGTCAACTGAATCGTGACACAATTGTCTCGTTCTGGTTTGGTACTAGATTCAAGGCCATGTACCTACCATGGGTTCTGGTAGGGTTCAACATGATCATTAGGGGAGCGTAAGTGACATCCTTTGTTTCATTCCTTGTGGACTGCCATAATACAGGTCTCCCTCCAATGAAAGACCACTTTTGGGACCAGGGTTTCTCTATGACCTTCAGCAGCTTTGGTTGCTAATTGAAATAATAAAGATAAAAACATTTGTTTATTTGGGAATCAAAGAAAAGTGGTCACTTATTGGAGAAAAGTCTTTAATTGGAGGGTCTTTTAATTATAAGGAGAACTGTATTCTAAGTAATTAATAAAAGAATGTAAAAATCAAAGATATTTGTGAGAATTACATGTGTAAGCTCTGTCCATACTATCTCATTTTCTCTGTTGTATGCCCATATATAGTCATGATGTGCCTATATATGGTCATGATGTGCCTATATATAGTAATGATGTGCCTATATGTGGTCATGATGTGATGTCATCATGACCATATTTAGCCATGTCACATGTTTTTGTCAAGTATAATTTGATAGTTTGGAAAGGGCTTTAGAGTGAAGGATTATTACTAACCAATTGCTTTATAAATATGTATAATCATAATCGGTATTATTATTATTATTATTATTATTATTATTATTATTATTATTATTATTATTATTATTATTATTATCATTATTATTTAGCACATTACACTTGCAGTGTTCTCCCGAGGCCGTTTTAGCCATCAGTTTTACCGGTAAAAATAACTGGCCAACCATTGAAAATGTTGAGTTTGTAAAATAAAAATGACTGCTGATTTAGGCCTAGGTATTCTAGGCTGGCCCTCTTTCACTAAATTACTGCAACATCATTCCAGTCTACGCCTATTCTATGAATATATTATTTGTTCTTGTTTCTTCCAAGTCATTAAACCACACTCAAAAGGGGTTAACGCTTCACACTGCGCGCATTGCTGATTTTTTATGGACAAATTTACCAGTAAAAATTGTTCAATTGGGAAACATGGTTACATAGTTTAACATGATGATGTATTTTCTAATATAATCAATCCATCTCTTTTTGTAGTGGTTTCGGTGAGCTGATTGGTATTGTTGTTGGGCATCTGTACTTCTTTTTGATGTTTAAATACCCACAGGATTTTGGTGGCCGTCAGTTTCTTACTACGCCTGCCTTTTTGTAAGTATAATGCTTTTACACATGATAGATCAAAATTATTTTACTATTAAATTAGAATTTTATATTTTGCTGTATTGCTATGATGTTTTAATGAACATCATATGTTAATACATGTGGCACAGTGCTAATACTTTGATTGTTATAGTCATTGGTTCAAATTTTAGACTAGCCAATTTTGTGTATTTATGAAGGCATCCGTGCAACTCACACGTATCCCACGCGATTACTGCATCATATGGGCATCGTGTGACTAAGTCTACAAAGTACAGTAAAACGTCCATTTTACGAACATCCATTTTACAAATAGTCAATTTTACGAATGGTCTTTGTTGCCCATGATGACATCATCATCTACCAATTCTTACCGTAAAAAAAGTTTGATTGCACACGTTTAAAAATAAAGTTTGTTGTATTTATTTATTAATAGTTTGATTTTTTTTTCCATTTCTGGTATAATAATCACTATATTAATGTAATAAAACCTAACCAGAACACTTTCACAGTCTGTGGAAGGCAACCTTCACTGCATTGTCTGTTTCCACTCAGAAGCATAAATTAATGGATTCCATTACAATGAATATAAAAGGGCACTAAATTGATATTCCTGATTCCTGTTGATAACATAATTGATGTCAAAATATTGAATCCCAACTTGATATTTCAATATTGGAGTGTGTTTTATACTATACTTAATTGATATATTATATCTTGATGTATTTCCAGGTACAAGTACTTTCCAAATCGTCAGGGAGGCGTTTCAGGGTTTGGTGTTGCACCAGCAAGCAGAAGACCACAGGCTGCAAATGAAGGAAGGCATCAATGGGGACAGGGCAACCTGCTTGGAGGAAACTAGGCCACCATATCAATTTAAAAAATAATTCAACATTGTATTTGTATCAATATGAATAAACTTTTTTTTTTTTTTTAATTTATTGGATTTTCATTTATTCATTCGTAATAAACAATTAAAAAAAAATATTTTTTTCAAATTTTGTGATATTTATTTAAATTGTTGACATTAGAACGGTAATCTGTTAGATAATATAACATCATATTTGAACAATGAATTTTATTTTCTTAAGTGAAATGTAAATATGATTGCGATACCATTTGCACTGTCATAATTGCTGTGTTTATGGTGGTTTACACTTATACAGTATGTGTCTCAAAACATCTCACATGTGTATGTATGTACAGTGATCGGAAACATTAACAGTGTGTAAACTCCTTGGATTGAAGGTATTCCTGTTGTTGCATGGATATTTTAACATCTACTGTATCAGTTCATTCACAATTTATCAGCTGTCTTATTTTTGGAAAAGAAACAAAATATAGGTAAAGCAAACAGTGGAGTGGATTTGAATAGTTTAAGTGGTTAAGCTGCTTGCCTTCTAATCCCAGGGTCGTGGGTTCAATTCCTGGGACAGCAAGACTTTTTCACACGACTAAAAACAACTTCACTCCCAAAGTCTCATAAAGAGGCTTCGCTGATAAAAGCATCACATTATTCCTTTAATTTAAGAAGGCCCTGAATATCAGCCGACCTTCTAGGTAAAATATACAAGCAGTGTCACTGGCTTTTTTAACAGATCTATTGATTTGAAATAGGAGAGACCAAGAGAAGAGGGTACAGTAAAATTGTGTATTTCATTCACATCTAGCAGCTACCCAGCTAAAAGTTAGCGTAAAATTCGAACCCACCCTGCTTTTATTAATTTGAATTTCCTTTTTAATTTAAATTAATATATTTAATAGGTTTTAAATTTTTAAATAGAATGAATGTAGCAAAGCTTCTAATAAAGTGTATAATTTTCGATTTGACAACACATCATCAGCAGTTAACAGTGGGGGATCCAGGAATTCGAAAAACAGGGGACTCGGAGAGAGGGCTTCCACCTCAGATGCACCATGGTTGGGGCCGAGATAAGAAAATGTATGAGTATGGCACCTCTAGATGGCCGGAAATGGAACTCTCATACTTAAATTTAAAAGTATACTACTCTTTTTTTTCCCTCCATTTTAATTTTGAAAATTTTAGAGGACTCGGACCAGCTGCCCCCAACCCTTGAATCTGCTGCTGGGCTTTTTTTTACATGGTTCACATGTATATAATAATAAGTCGTCCTGTAAGGGAGATACCATATTGAGAAAGTCGTTAATGGTTTTTTTTTTCCTGCATTATAATTTTAGTCGTTCCTAATTATCAGAATCCAAAACACATTATATAAACTGTTTATAAAATTAGAGATGCACTGTATGTCAGAAGTTAAAATATATATATATATAAAATAATTAAATTTCAAACTAGAATTGTTTATACTAATGTATTAGTTTTTCAAGTAAAGGGAGTTAAGTAAAACCTTTGCTGTATTCGTTTGCATAGAGCATTACATTTGCTGGTAATCATTAAAAGTTCATGTATAAAAATGTCAGTAAATCAGCGACAACATTTTTTTTCTTTCTTTCTAGTTCTAGTTTCATTTTAAAAAGAAATTGTAATAGAATTTATATAGTTTTTCCGATTTTGTTTTGTTTTTTTGTCAGTGTATGTTTAAAGTGGTAAACGTATTGGTAACAGCCTTGGTAAATACAACAACATATGCTCGTATTATGCTGATTCACTGTCTGCATGGGACTAAATTAAACTTAATGAAATTCTAAATTTTAATTGTCCTCTTTGTATTTTTTATTATTTTTGAATAGAAAATAAAGGAGGAATACTATTTTCCTCACCAATTAAAAGATACTTGTAATTTCCCTTTATTTGATAAATCCTTAGGGGCTTGTAATAAATTTAGAATTTCGTACGTATGAAATCGAATAGTTTTGATCCTTGTCACACCAGAGGAACGTGACTGAATATTTTGAAATAAGTATAAGCTATTCAATATTATATCTTATGCAATGATCGGACATTGTGACGTCATCACATTGTCATCTGAAATAATAAAATGAGGTTAAGACATATTTACGCCATGGAGCTGAATGGAACGTTCAGGTTGAAAAACGAATATTTCAGTTTATTCAGGGGGTTGCGCCAGGATTTTCCCGACGGTGTGGGGGCGATTCCCCAGACGAGGGGTCTATTTCCCTGACTAAAGCAAAGTGGGCGTGGTTGAGCTTCGATTAAAATGTTTTGAATATGGTCCGGGGGCCCGGGGGGGGGGGGCGCGAAGCCCCCGAAAATCTTGACAATTTAGGGGGTTGCAAAGGCTTATTTAATCGATTTTAGAGTCTACTAAATATGTAGAAAATACCTATAATTTGTTCTTCCCGACGAATTGTCCTTTTTCTCCCTGGATGGGGGGGGGGGGGGGGGGGGGGGGAGCTCTTCCCGACGAGGGCCCTGGTTTAATTTCTTTTTATCACTGCCTAGCCTTTCTCCTACTCTCAGGAGTCCATCTTCATCGATGTAGGGACTCAAATTCAACAGTGGACTGGTCTTTGATGTTCATTATGTTGTTGATTTTCTTTAACTTTACGATAGTTCTACGTTGTGTTGTTTCTTAACTTTATTTGACAGTCATCTTAGCAACTACAATTCAAAGTAGGCCAACTGATGTTATCGTCCCCAGTGGCAGGATAGTAAAGCACAGAGCTCTGGTACAGCATAGAGTTCCGCACTTGTAATAGCGCCCCCTATAGACATACATTACTTTTGATTTATCGATGTCTGGCTAATTGATGGATTGATGATCGATAGTACGCTATTCAGTCAGGTGTCAAATTGGATGCAAGCACGGCCTTCGTCCGATGTCAAGTGTACAAATACGTGTAATTTCAACTTGTAATTTCATCTAGTTTTGACAGACGGTGAGCAGGAGAGCTGTAATGAACCAATCTCTGCAATTCATCTAAGCAAATAGATTAATCAGATGTAGGCCTACAACGTTAATGGTAAATACATAATATTTTATTTAAGTAACCAAACAATGCTTCTGTTAAATCGATTTTCATTTTTTTTTTTCAATAAGAGTGAAGGAATGTTAGAAAAATGTTGCTGATTGAAAAATTATCATAATGAATTGTGTGTGAATAATGCCTAAATTTTTTGGAAATATGGTGATTTCCAGATTTCCAGATGTTAGTTTACATACTGCAATAGGCATAGCTATTTTTATTCGTACATATTTTCGGATAAATTTTATTTTATGAGATATGTTAATAACTGACTCTCCAGATCAAACGTAGTTTGTATGATATCAGACTTTTTTTTGTTTCTTTCTAGAATAATGGTTTACTAAGTTGTTCCTTTCAAGATAAAGAAATTCCTATCATGACTTGTAGACAATGGTGCTGCCAGCGTTCTTCCCGCGGATACGATTTTGCAATTTAAGCCTGTCGTTTTGTCAATGAAGTTATATATGCGAAATTCTAAAGATTATAAGTGCCATTTGCAGATTCTGCGAGTTTTTACCTCAGAGTTGAGTTCTCTTTGTTGATTTCAAGTGGGAAACAATTAAACTAAACTATGCTGCAACCATCAGAATTCTCCAGCAAGATCCTTGCTATCTGCTACTGGGTATGTTGCCAATCCTGCCTGGTGTGGTCATGGTCTTTAAACCACCTACTCTCAAATTTCATCAGTACCTCTGATGAGATAAAGGAGCAGATGGAAGAAGCTTGTTGTGGAAGAGTTCTTATCAAGTGCATAAAAATCTTGCTGTGTCTAGCATTCATTTTTCTTTGGCTTCCATTTGCGTTGGTAGCCTTTCTACTCAAAATAGGCCTCCAGAAATATCGCTGTCCGTATGCGTATCATTATAAGCTAAATCAACACGAAAAAAATCCATACGGATACTTCGGCATTGAGGAAGGAAATAAAATTCCGTTTTTTCATGTTAGTTCATTCAATACGTGTCTTCTTCCAGAAGCATTATCCAGAATTAATAATTTACGGAATGTTGAGAAGCGCGCAAAGGTAATTTCTGCGTACATTGTCAATTCGCAGGTGCGACCAAATCCGAGAATAGTTGTTCAATCACCTACGGCCACTGATTTGAAAATCTTATCAGTTTGTAGTATGAATGACCAGTTAAATTCCTCCTCTTTGCCACGGAACCAATC